ATAAAACCTGTAAGGCAAATCAAATGGATCAAATGAGAAGATAGAGATATGGATAGGGGGACTGATATGACGACAGCATAGTTAGTATAGTTTTCTTTGCATAGATGATTAGAGAAGCTCACCCACACTCGCCCCCCCCAATATTCTACATGCACCCCCTACTGGGGCTGGCTAAATCCGGCCCTGGTTGAGCTGTTCATCAAATTACCATGCGAATGCGATTTCAATACGCGCTAATGCGGCTATTTATAATGTGAATAGCGATCTTCGGGTGACAGCGATACTACACGCCCCCGATGCATGTACTCATATATGTGGGGACAAATATATATATTTTTTTATTTTTTGATTGCAGTCACAGATTTTTATGAAATTGTATTTCCCGTTTAGTCCCCACAATGTATTATATACATGGACCACACACACACACACACACAGCATTTTGCATTCTGTGGCGCAAACAGGATAAGAAAACAGCAGTGGGTTAGCAGCACACTGTTAAATGTTTCTGTTAATTTACACCCAAATTTCAACATGATTAACCTGTTATTCTTAATAACTGCGCCTTACTGTTAATTTTAGTAAATATATGTTAAATAACACCTCATTTTTGTTATTTAACACCACATTGTTAAATAACACCTCATTTTTGTTATTTAACTGCAAAATCGAAAATTCAAGATGTCGGATAGAGTTAGATGGTCTGGTATGTAACGTTATGGAGATAAATGCTGATATGCAATTTTATGCTTATTATAAAAAAGTTATTATTTATCAGTGGAGAAGTTAGTAATTTCATTTCGTTTTTTTTTTTAGGTTGCTAAACAACGACTGATTCAATCAATAGTCGACGGTGCAATCCATTACTAACAAACTAAATATTGTATGCATTTACTGAATGAAGATTAGACAAATTAAACACCTAATTTCTCTACTGCAAATGTTATCAAGAATAATCTTGCATAGTCAGAAATAAGACAGAAATAAGAAAGTTTGCGGTGTTTTCTGCGCATACGCAAATGTGTTTTGTTATCGTGGGTGTAATACCCTTTTATTAATGCAACCATACCATACACTCCGGATTTTACGCGAGACGGCCTATACATTTAGTTGAGGAACTGCGCTCCCAATGTGTGTGTGTGTGTGTGTGTGTGTGTCTGTGTCTGTGTGTCTCCCCTGTTATTTCTGAACACCGTGTAAATTTCCGTATGACGCGCAGCACGCTGGTAGGCGGCCCTTTATTTGGCGC